CATTCGTATGAATGACACATTGCTTTAGGTCTTCATCACAAATAAATTACGGGCTGCTGAGGATCTGTGCCTTTCATTTCACGGGTGGTCTTCTCACTACATGACTTACATTTGTACTTCACATAGTTGAGCACATGAACTCAGCATCTCACCGATCTGTCGCACAAAATTGAATCCAAGGGACTATTTTACATTGCAGCAATTTGAAAATAATAAATGAATAAATTTCAGCGGCACAATAATAGAGTAACACATAAACACACTGACTTATTTATTTGAACAGGCTATTATTTTTCTCTTCAGTATGACTGAAAACTAAAAATCAGGATCCGTTTTTACAGAAAATTCATATGGAGCTCTTTAGTTATAAGAACAAATATGAATTTCCCTTACCAAAAGAATTGTGGAAAGATTAGGTATTCTCTCTAGAGCATTCAAAACTCACCTGGCTAGAAAATAAGAAATATGTGAAAGTCAGTGAAGAATTGTTAAAGAAGGAGAATTACAGTGCTTAACCCAAGACAATGGCTAATCTCATAACGGCTTCAAACTTCATGAAGAATTCATAGTTGGAAATGTAATGAGGATCAAAAAGCAGTGTCTCCGGCCGGGGATGCAGCTCAGTGGATCTACTGCCTGCCTTTCAAGTGCAAGGTCCTGGTACCCCGCCCCGCACACACAGAAAAGCAGTGTTTCAGGAAGGTACTTACTGAAGGAATGTTTAAAAGTGAGTGGCTGAGTGAAATGTTCTCATGCATCAGAGATATGGAACAAGATGATGGATTTTAAAAACAGAATGAGTGATAAAACACTGAGTGCTGAACGGAACGGTTTTCAGGATCCTGGCGTAGTAAAAAGGGTCCTCACAGAAAGGAGGGATGGGTTTGGCCCAGACCTTGCCAGGGGGCCTTCACAAAATAAGGTCATAAAAGCTCGTGACAGCCGCAAGCTCTTCTGTTCTCGAATTTAATTTGCAAGTCAAATTAAACTAGAACACGACTAAAGAACCAAGAGTTTACTAATTTCTAGGTAAAGAACCCAGGTTTTGAAAATTTCAGCTCAGTGCAAAAATCTTATGTTGACTTTTGAAGGAAATGAAATGCGTTTTGTATTTCTGTTTTCTAAATTTGTTAATTTAAAAGTTTTTAATTCTTTATTTGTCTTGTGCTGGGGATTGAACCCAGAGCCTTGCTAGGCACCTGCCCTGCCACTGAGCTCACAGGCCCAGCCTGTTTGTATTTTCAGAGGTTTTGGAAGAAGATTCGACATTCTTTGCCCAAGAACTGTCCCGCAAAGGCATCCACATGAGCGTCTTCAGGGTGGTCAGATGTTCTCCTTCCTCGGGTCCAGGTGGCAGCTTAGGTCGCCTTGGGGAAGGATTCAGAGACTCCTCCGGCCACCAGAGCAGAGAGGTCGGCAAAGAGAACCTGGGTGGGAGAGACACCGCACCGCCAGGAGGTATCTGCCAGTGTGAAAGCTCAATCGAGTGATATCCATAGTGCTGTAAATAATTTCAGCCATGAGAATAAGGGAAAACTGTAATTACACATGCACTCAGAGACAGAGGAAGAGGGAAAGCAATCAATTATTATGTGTCTTTATGTATATTGAAACAATTATTTGGAAGAGTAATCCTCATTTACTGTAAACTAGACCAGACCTGAATTTCTAAACGTTATACTATGTCTCAGTCTGTTTCTGCCACTATAACAAAATATTAGACTGAGCAATTTAGAGACAATATAAATTTATTATACACAGTTCTGCAGGCTGGGAAGCCCAGTTTACTCTCTGCTTCACAGGTGGCACCTTCTTTCTGTGTTATTGTTTTGTAGCCAGGCTCTCACTATGTAGTTCTCGAGTACACTATGTAGCCCAGGCTGGCACAGAACTCGTGGAGATCCTCCTGCCTCAGCCTCTTGAGTGATGGATTTACGGCATGTGCCACCACACCCAGATCAAAAATAGTACCTTTTTGACATATCTTTACAGAGTGGAAAAGTCAAGGGAGGTCCTGGAGCTTCTTCTGTAAGGCACTGATCCAATTTATGGAGTCGGAACCCTCACTAATCAGTCACCAAAGGGCGCCCACCCGTCACACTGTCACACTGGGGATTAAAGTACCACCTAAAGACCACAGCACCACGAGTCTTAGTCTATTTTCTGTTGCTGTCATAGAATACATGAGACCAGGGATTCATCAGTGGAAAAGGTTTGTTCTAGCTCAGGGTTGGGGAAGTAGAAACGCAGTTGGAATCTTCCGTTGTCTCGTGAGGGTTTGTTCTGCGTGACGTCCTGGCAGAGAGGCAGGAGAAAGAAGCAGGCACGTGCAGAAAGGGCACATGCTCAGTAGAGCGGGGAGGAGCCAGGGTGGCTTCGTGGCCCGCATCTCTCATCACGACTAACTCGTTCTTGTGGGATTTACATCAGCCCCTTGAGGAGCTCGGAGTTCCCCCAAACCCAATTCCCTCTTAGAGGGTCCCCCGTCCCACCACACTGTCTCAGAACCAGTTTTCTCACACACGAATTTGGGGGTTCAATCCATGTTCAGCCAGAGAACCGTGGTTTTTGTTTCTTGTTTTTTTGAGACAGGCTCTCACTATGTAATTGAGACTGACCTAGAACTCACTATGTAGCCCAGGCTGGTCTCGAACTCACAGTGATCCTCCTGCCTCAGCCCCCCGAGTGCTGGGATTACAGGTGTGCACGACCATGCCCTGCTGAACCGTATATTTTTTAAATGGAAGATTCCAGATTATATATGACTTACCATGTTGCTTTTTAAAAATGCTGATTCTTAAAAGCATAATAATAAAATTTAATAATAAAGTCTCACAAAAGCAGTGTGTCATGCTTAAGTGAGTTGGAAAATCAAGTAAGACAAAGAAAGTAAATTCATTGCTTTACCTACCTCCTTTCCTAAACTCTTAAATTTATTTTGTAGGGCAAAATGGTTGTACCTTATATCATTAAATGTTAGAATTATGGAATTTGTATGTTTCTGCACACTAAAATGATAAGTCCTGTTAATGTCTTCTGGTGAGGAGGTACTTAGATGGGGTTTCCAGTCAATGAAATATCTTTTTCTTTCTTTCTTTATTTATTTTGGTACTGGGAATTGAACTCAGAACCTTGTGCTTGCAAGGCAGGTGCAGTGTCACTGAGCTAAATCCCCAGCCAATATTTGGAATGTCTTTGGGGGGGCAGGTTTCTGTCAATGAGGAGCCTTCTAGGTTATATTCACAAACATTAAGAAATGCTATAATGCTATCCTAGCTCCTGAGACAAGAAGAAACAGGAAATAATAGGCTAAAGTTAAATCTCTATAAGGAAAAGTTACATGATTTCCCACAGGATGAGAATGTCCTCAAGATTTTTTTCATGACTTCCAAATAATAAGTGCTCTTATGAAAGCCAAAGATGTGTCCCAGAAGTGTCCTGGAACTTTGCTGTTTGATATTTGGAGACTTCAAGTCTAGGATAGAAATTCAGTCCACAGGAAGAACTAATCTAGAACCCAAATACTCTCTGCTGGCAGTCAGATAGGGTATATAGTAAGCCTCTGTTTTACTTTTTTTGTTTCAAAGCAATGTCAATTTTCTGATTGGTAAAAGTCTTCAAAACATTGGCTTTTACTGAGATCCCTGATGTATACTGTACAGAAGCTCTGCTGTGGATTAAAGATAACCCACAATTCTTTGCAGAACCTCCTATCGAGAGATGGCTTCTGCTGGGTAAATCCTGGAATCGAGGCTGCCCCTGTGTTTTTCTTTGATTAAGAAAAGGTAGTAGAAATGACTGGAGGACTCTTCAGGGTTCTTTAGGCTTCCTCTCTCAGGTTCCTGGAACCCAGAGAGCCTGTGCTCTGAAGACGAAAAGCCTCCTGGGAAGAGGTGCCATCTTTGCTATCTCGGCTGACCTGGCTGAAGGCTGCCTATGAAGTGCCCCAGGAGAATCCAGAATGGTGGCCCATTCACCCATGAAGCTCCCCCATGTGAGCCCACCATTGACATTTTCAGCCACTGAATTTAGGAGTAGTTTGTCACAGAGCAATACATAACGGATATAAACTCTGTGGGAAGAAACTGCTTCATTTCCTCTTTCTCTTCTTGCCAAATGCTTCTCACCGAGGCTATCTCACCTACAAGTACAGTATACCGCATGCAAAATTGGAAAAAGTGGCAACTGCCTAGCGCCAAACATCAGAACCATCAGCCAACATGACTCTTCTTTTATTCTTCCCAATAGCTTGAAATTTCCCACATCCGGGACATACTCTACTGGGCCCATGGGAAATCAAATGTGTTTCCGGAAAGTAAAATGTATATGGAGGGAGAGAAGGAGAGAAGGGAATCAGACTGTAAGCAGGGTAGGTTCCAGAGTAGGGAGTGTCAAGCATGGGGAGGGCCGAGAGTCAGCGGGAGGCCCAGAGTGGAGCTGTCTGAGGCCCAGCACCCTTCTGGGAGAACTTGTCCCAGGGGAAGGGACTGACGGCAGGGGACGGAAGCAGTCAGACACCCACAAAGTTGACTGAGTCTCATTTCTTTGTTGGCCACTCTAACTTGTCCCAAACCCTGCAAGGAAACAGGAGAAACAAAATGTTGTTCTTCTCCCCTGAGAGGACTCTGCCCATCTTGCAGCTACAGAAAACTGGTCCAATCATTAACCTGCACAGACCCCCACATAGGAATCAGCCCTTGACAACATTCCCAGTCTGTCGACACAGACACAGTGAATTGGAGGAGGAGTAGGAGGAGGCCTGATAATGCTGGGCGGTCAGCTGCCTCCTTAGAGAACAGGCAGCCAACCACAGCCACTGAGCTCCACAAAACAAGACGACAGAGCTGAACCTCCACCTCAGACAGGGCCAGTCAAAGCCAAGGAAGTCATCCTTATCCACAGTAAGCTTCACCATCGGTGCCTTGAATGCTGTGAGCCCCAGACACAGCTTATCTCCTTCCCACCACCCACCTTGGAATCACCCTTCCCCTCCTGCGAGGAACACACAGCCCTAACCCCGCAAGGCTCTCACCACAGGGAAACCTGAATGGCTGACAGGTCTGCCTTGCCTATGAAAGTCAGTTCCCTGAGGACAGGCGCTAGTCTTCTAAGTCTTACCCTCCCCCGAAGGCCTGGCACAGAGCTTGCCGTGTGTTCAGTGAATGCTGAAATAAAAGTGGTCAGTCAGCCAAAAGTGGCTGCGCAGATGCATCAGTAACAACAAACAACAAACACTGAGAGGTTAGGGCACAGTGGAAACAGGTTTAGCTCTATTTTGTTTTTAAATATAAGGACTAGGAAGAGACGTTTCCTCAAACGTTTGTTGAGCGTTCCCTGATGTGCTCTTTTATTTCCGTCGTTTACTGTGACACCGCTTTTCATCAGAGCACCAAGGCAACCCACAAAGTCCTCCTTTCAACTTTCTTGCCTTAAAACTCCGCCTCGGTGTCCAGCCTGGAGTTCCACATAAAAGCCACCATCAGCAAACAGCCACCATTTATTCCTTTCCAATAAGGTACCTATGGATCACACAGGAAACAAAAATACAGTGCTCCTAAGACGTTCCTTCAAATCTCTGTCAGCTTTCATGGCTTTTCTGCCGCTCTTTCCTGACTGCTGTGTTTGTCCTTTCCCTGTGTGTGCTCGTTTCTGATTGCCTCGCATAACTTTGAATATGAACGTTGCTTTGGTCCCTGTCCTCCTGCTTCCTCTTGTTCAGTCTGGCTCAGCTGGTGCCCTTGCTCGGACACCTGTCGTGTGCCAGCGTCCTCACTTTCCATGCCTGGCCCCCTCCTCTGTACCCACAGGCAGGATAACACTAGTTTGGAGTCAGGCTCCAGCGCTGACACTTGTCTGTCACTTATGGACCCCACGAGCACTTCGGAAACACGCTTTTGTAAATGACCTTTTTCAATGGTGAGGACAGGGTGAAAGACAGCAACAGGCCGTACTGAGGAGCCCACGGAGTGGGCAGGACACCATTGTGACTGCCAGGCCCAAAGCGTTATGTAGATACAAGACTTGTGGAAATGGCTTGAGAGCTGGGAAGACCACTACTTGGCAGGCCTGCAGTAGCCCAGGGTTGCACCCACTTCCAGAATGATAGCAGCGAGGAAACGGCACCCCTGTTTGTTGCTGTGCTCTTAATCTCTGCAGGAACCCCCTCTGGAAACCAGAGGTAGGGTGCTCTGGGCAACACAGTCTTCGAAGTCCACATCCTGAGGGGCAAGAGAGACAGAGAAAATCCATCTTGGGTGTGATTCAGATACTCTCTACATGAGTGTGAGTGGCTTTTCCTTTCTAACTTCCGTTTTCTCATTTACAGAACAATGTTCTAAGATGATGCGTGCAAATGCACAGTGAAAGTCTCTCATTAATATTGTCCTCATCTAAAATTCCACACTGTAGTACTTTGATATCTTTGAGAGCAATTCCTCAGCCTAAAGCCCTGACCACAGCCACTCCAGCTGCACTAGTGACTTCCTGAAGAGCTTTCTGGAACAAAAGAGACACAGACATCAATCCTTATTTTTAAAAAGACATGTCTATGAAAAATAAAAACTGAGTATCTGACTTTCTATTCAAAAAGTGTAGGGAACCACCAGGCGTGGTGGCACACGTCTGTCATCCCAGCCCTCGGGAGGCTGAGGCAGGAGGATCGCTGTGAGTTCGAGACCAGCCTGGGCTGCATAGTGAGTCCCAGGTCAGTCGCAACTACACAGTGAGACCCTGCCTCAAAAAAAAAAAAAAAAAAAAAAAAAAAAAGTGTAAGGAGTAGGACTGGGGATATAGCTCAGTGGTTCCGCCACCTGCCTCACAAGCACAAAGACCCAAGTTCGATCCCCGGTAATATAAAAAGTAAGGAGTAGCATGCAATAAAAGAAAACCCCTCATTCAAGAAAGCCCAGTGTCTGTGATTCTTGACGACAAACCAACCTGAGTGATATCTCCAGAACACGTAGAGTGCTTTTCCCTGCTTCCTCTAGGGTCTGCCAAGAATCCGGGGTCTCACAGTTCTTCCTCCTGGGCACCTCAAAGGCTACAGATACGGAGAGAATGGACTAGTCCTGGAGTTACCTTCTTGGGACAAAGGCACCCTGAATTCGTGTAACGGGTTAGGCATTTCCAGAAAATCAACACATGTAGAAAGAGATTTCTAAATCTGGTCCTGTTCAATTAAACACCACTCTGTAAGTGAGAGTTGTGATGTCACACACCTAGAAATAGCACTGACGTTTGCAGCTGCAGATCTGTCTGTCTTTTTTGGGAGACATTGCCATTATTTCTGGAGCTAACAGGGACTGTGGAGATCACTTAGTTCAATTTTCTCATTCTTCAGATGGAGAAACCTGGGAAGCAATAAAAACACAGGAAAAGGGGGGCTCACTGTGCTCCCCAGATCCCTCATTTAGTTCCTTTTTACTGCAAAACACAGCCTCTTTACATTAAAGCACAACTGTAATCAAACACAACTTTGAGGAATTAAAATCTTTATAGCGAGTATTATTGGATATTCACTTTTTAACTGAGGCCAGCAATAAACTGATTTGTGAAAGAAGTTTTAAAATGTAGGCATATCAGGAAGTGCTTACCACAATTTTATAAATGTCCTAGAACTTCATCTGGGAGGAAGAACATTCTTTTCCTGCAGACAGAAACTAATCCATCATGGCCTTAATTTTCTTAATGCTATATAACCATTTAATCACTTTTTTTAAATGACTACAATCATTCTACGTCCTTTGTTCTCTAAAAATAGCAGTCACCCTTCATCTGCTCATTTGATGGCTTTTCAGATCTGTGTGCTGTGCGTTTCCTAGATGCCGTTAGCTGCACCAGTCACACAGACCCGGCCAGCAGTACCTTGCTTGACTTACTCCCTCCAATGCTTCCAGGGAGCCGAGCGTTTTCAGGATGTGCACACTAGCTCTGTGCTGGAATGACTGATGTCAGCTCTGGCTGTGCCAAACATCGCTCATCACTGCTCATTACAGCCCCTTCCACACCGTGGGGCTGGGGCTGGGGCTGCCGCACTGGAGCACGCCCCCTCCCACATATCTGATGTAGGGATTCAACAATATGCCAATCACTTTCTTCCCTTAAAGTGCCACTACTGCAGCGGATAAAAATAACGTGTTACTGTTGTCACTGCCCGGTGGGGGGAGGTGTGGAGAAGAGGCCACAGGAGATGTTTCAGTATCTAGACTGGACACAACCCTTTCTCATCATCCAAAGGATACTTCCAGCCTGAGTCTCTTGACCGCCTGCTTACCCAAATCCCCTGGGATTTCTTTTCTTTTCTTTCTTTCTTTTTCTAATAGAAAAACAAGAAGAAACTGTCCACCTCCACTCTGAGCCTAGGGCTGCTAACTTGCTTTGGATTTGAGCCTTGAAATCCATTTCCAGCTACAGCCTTCTTTGGGTGTTGGTTTCTTTACTGGAAGAAAAAAAAAGTAGGTTCTGTGTTGCACCAAATAGGCCATAATGTGTGTTCTGTGAGCTTCTAGGACAGTTGAGGGAGTTTAAGACTTGGCCAGGCAAGTAAACACACATTTAATAGTAAAAGAACACGGGTCAGAAAAAAGTTATTCTAAAGCACAGCAATGAGTTGGTTTAATGCCTCCCTTATGTTTCCTCTGAACACTGCCTATTCCTTGACAAACTTTTCCTGCCCACTACCTAGCACTTCTTCCCTAGGACGGCTCATGAACCACAGTCTCTCACTGGGTGTGCTTATTTATTTACACTGTCACTCCTGTTCCATCCAGACTAACGTACGTCTGCAGGGCACAGGGTAAAAAGTAAGTGTCTCTTTTCATGTTTATTTCCCCGAAGCTGTTCCCCAAATTGCTTTTTTACATCCCTTTTGCAATCTCACCCCGTCCAGCTCAAGTAACCCAGATTGGAAAGAAGACTCTGGAGTCATTTCAAAGGGAGCCTCCCATAGCCTGAAATCCACCACATTTTATGGTTCATATATTCAGGAACTGTGGTGCTAAGCAAGAAGGCCAGCAAGCTGATGAAGACAGGCACAGAAAAATAAGGGTGGCTTCTTCTCAAGACAATCACTGTTGGGATTATCTGGTTATCTGTGGCTTTTCTGGTTCAAAGTGATGAACTCACGTCACTCGCAACTAAACATTTTGCAACAACAGATGGGGACACTGTGTGTGTGTGTGTGTGTGTGTGTGTGTGTGTGTGCGCGCGCGCGCACAGTGCGGTGTGAAGAAGACAGTTCTCCCACAGAAAAAGGAAGGTTACAAATGGTAATTCTTATATGTAAGGGAAAACAATCATAAGGTAAAGGTGTTGATAACCTTTGTTCCTTTTCTGATTGATACTTACTGCCTTCCTTGCACTGTTAGGCATAAGGAAAATTCCACCTCTTGTCACAGTTCCAACAACACAAGTATGCAAAATAATACATGATATTTAACTATTGAATTAGCATCAAAAGGCCAGTCTCTCGGGTTCTAATTTTTAGCACCTTTAAAGGAATGTACAGTTCAATTTCCCTTCTTTTCACATTCAGGCCATCTCCTCTATCCCCATCCTCAATATGTCTCCAGGGACGTGTGACAGCCGGGAGTTCTGCAAACTTCAAAACAGGTTCTCTTCTGATTCACTGTCCTAAATTGAAGGCCATCCCGAAAATCTTTGTGGACGTCGGCAAGGTTTGTTTGGGCCATCTCCTGCCCCTAAATCAGCTGAGCATAAGAATTAGCAGAGCGTCTGTGAGTCAGGGACTTTTTCAAAGTGACCTCCCACAGGTCTGGTGCTGCATAAACCCCTAGCCAGGCAAAGTGGACTATATTCCCTCAGACACTCTGTTAAATACACATACGGCAGGTTTGTATTTAAAATGCTTTGTGAGCTTGTGACCTTCCGTTACATACTTCTCCAGTGACTCCCCGAGGCTCATCTGCTTCCGCTACTGGAGAGAAGAGGGAAACACTCAGAGTCATAGCAGGAACAGCCTGTGGTTCTGGGACCCCAAAGTGAGCCAGGGAACCTTGCTCTCGCCACCCCGGGCCCCCACTTGTTCTAGGAACAGAAGGCTCCTGGAACTTCTCCTCCTCCCCTGGGAAGGAGGACATCTTTGCACACAGAAGTCCCAGTTCTGCAGATGAGAAACCAAAATGCACAACAGATTGTCTGAGGCGTACTGGGAGATTCAGGGGCCCGGAAAGAGCTCCGAGCGAGGGCGAGCTGGCTACTGAGGGAGTCGCCCAAGGGGAGGAGGCATCGCCCGGAGCCTCGGCGGAGGCTGCTTTGGAAGAAAGCCCCGGCACAAAGCCCTTCGGAGCCGACCGAGCAGAGCGCACGCGCCTCCCTCCGGGCCCTCGCCCTCGGAGCAGGTATAGCGCGGCAGAGACGCCCCGGCGCGCGAGCTGAGCTCCATCGGACCCTGCCCGGCGCCCCACTGCAGCTACTTTTACTGAAAGAGAAGGAGAGAGAGAGGAGCAACAGAAGAGACGCTAAGGACAGAGTCTGCCGCCAGACACCCCCAGCGATTTGCCAAAGGGGCGAGGGGACCGCTGCCCGGGACCTGCAGCCCGGGTGCAGGAGCGCAGCACGAGGGGCCCCCA